AGAGTTTGATTTTTGTTAACGACCAGAATCATTGAGAGGCAAGTGTGCTCAAAAATAGCTGACCATGTTAAGGAATAATATTTTTGGTTTGCTCTTGCCTACTATTAAGAAAAACATTTTTTTAAAAAAGCAAAAAAATATAGAATCTCTTGGTGTGACTGTCTCTCACAAACTGGCGCTGCTCACATTTCCAGAATAGGATTTCCAGAAAAATGGTAGGCAATGTATTATGTTTCAGACTTGCCAAGGGGACAATACATTTTTAGATATAGAAGTTCAGTTTCATCTAGATATACATCTACTCCATGACTTAATAGCTATACCTCTGATACATGTTTACATCTCTAATTTTTTTAATGTTATAAATAACTTTAGACTCTCCTTAGTTAGCGTGTCATGCCATGCTGACTGTGGACTTCTCTTTGTTTATTCGATTGAAATAAATATCATATAGAGACTCATTTTCTTTCATTTATTTTCTTGGCATGTGCATTGTAGACAGAAATAGGTTCTAATTCCATCTCTGTCACTTAGTAGTTAGATGATCCTAGCCAAGTCAGTCAGTTTTTGTGTGTGTAAATTAGGAGTTATTATTCAGACAAAGTATTGCGTGTGTGTGAGGGATAAGTGAAATGAAATACGCAGAAGGGCTGTGGCATATCTTCCTTATCCTGACCCACCTTCCCCTAACCTGATTCCTCCTCTTCTAGAAAGGCCAAGGATCAAAATTTCAAAGCTCTCCGAGATATTTTTAAAGCTCTGTTATCCAAGTAAATTCAAAAAAAATGTGATCAAAGTGCAATGTACTGCTTTTATGAACTTTCTAATTTCGAGATATTTATTCCCAGCTAGTAGTCCTTTCTTAAATGCTCCACCATATTTTTGAACATAAAAGAACCGTTGCATTTAGAGAAGATAGCCAGAAGAAATTTTTTTTAAGAAAGCTGTTTCCAAATATCCAATGATTCATTAAAATACTTTTGTTTCCTTAGGAAAAAAGTTTCCACATATGCACAGTAATCACTTGGCGTTTTGCAGGCTTAAGCCTTGGGGAGTTCGTGGTATTTGGCTCCTGACATGGAAGTCTTTCTCTTGTCAGACAAATCCTTTCCCCTGCACATTCCTGGGCGAGTTTGTTTCTGTCGTGCCTGATGGCAGGCTGGGGGGTGGCTGGGCGTGGTTTGCCCGCGAGGCCGACTCTTCACACTGCAGCTCTAACCTCTTTGTGACTTAGTTTTAACTTCGTGTCTGCTAACTCCATCCATCATTGTTTCACCTAACTCCAGGTCATTGCACCTGGGGAAAAATTGTCCCTGGCTAATGTGCCTTAAATAAACCAACTTATAGTCCTTGAAGTTCCTTTTCATGACTTTATTTTTATTAACAATTCTTCAGGGTCTCTTAAGAAAAGTATGAACATTTTTCAGAGATTGGAGTATTTTTAGGAAATGATTGTGCCTTTGAAGAAACGTGTGAACTACATTGCCTTGATTCAGGAAATCTAGGTTCTGATGATTTGAGATTTATTCTCAACGTTTTGAATTTTCTATATTATTCTCAAGAAAGAAGATAACACCAGGGAAGTTTCATTCCAAGGAGCAAAGACCAAATGAATACAGAATATGGCAAAAGCGCACATGAGTATCTCCTTAGTTAAGGAAAAGGCAAAGAATTGATTCACAGTCACCAGAGCACAGAGCAGGGAAAGTAGTTGAGGCTTAAGAGCCTCTGGAGAAGAACAGTAGGGTGGTGAGATTGGCCATGTATGAATCAGTTGCTGTTTCAATTCTGTGTTCCTGTTTTCTTCATGCTCACGCTGCATGTTTAAAAAATCTATGCAAATTGCATGTTCCATTTTAGGGAACTATTAGGCCATTTGGATACTTTGGAATTCTTTCAACCAGTGGAGTTGGTAGTGAGGCTGTAAATGGATGTGTGAGTGTGTGTGTGTAAATGTAAATATCTAAATTGGTTCACTACAATTTGTGAAAATTGACCTACTTTATCTGAAAAAAGTATAACAAGGAATGGTAGAGATGCCTTATGCCCTGCCTATTGGTAGGTGTATCATAGGCTCCCTTTTTATTTTATTTGTTTGATAGTCTCCAAGCAAATTTATTTAATTAGTGGAGGGCCTACCTTAAAGGGTTGGGAGAGAGAAAAAAAAGGAAGCATATTTTATAATCATTTCAAAAAACTTTACTTAAATAGAAGAGTCAATATAGATATTTTATAGAACCACAGATGTTCGCATATCAAAAAGAATTGTGTATCAGTATATATTTATATAAAAGCAGATATATGTATACAGACATATATTACATATATATGAAATACTAAAGAATATAGAGAATTAGTTCATCTGACAGAAGAATGGTTTTTAGAAAATTGACTAATAAATGGCATTTTTATATAATGTCACATTTTGCTCACTTTCTCCCCATTTCATATTTAAAAGTGTGTAATTTTTAGATTAATTAATTTATTTGTATCCAACCATTCAACAATTGGTTGAAGAGCAATAACACGAAATTATGTAGCATTTAGAAAATTGTGTGATCTTAAATAGATTGAAAATCTATTGATTATATTCAACTGCCATCAATTTAAAAATTGATATTTTATTATTGCTATTATTGGTCATAATACTATGGTGCATTTATATCAGGATTTGTAGTTTACAGATCTTTTCTATATATATATATATATATATATATAAAACTTTAATTAATTTCATTTCACCTAAGAATTAATTGCTAATTGGGGTAAAAAACAACATTGCCTTTCTTTGGATAATTAAGACAGCAGAGCTTTCTCATTTAAATAATAAAAGATAAAATTAAACAAATGAAACAATTAGATGCAAAACTCAACTCTCACACTGATGCTGAGCTGGACATCAGTAGGAAAAAGAAATCGGTTTCATAAATAATAATGAACACTTGTGGACAGTGAAGCTACTCTGCAGATCAGTTTTAATTTCCTTCTCATGTAAAAACAGTGCTTCTTTTTGCTATGCCTGAAGATTCGGCAGAGAGTGTGTGTGTGTGCTTAAAACAGTATAACTTCAGGTAAATACACATGCACAAAGAGAAACAGTACCATGATTTGACTAATAAATCGTAATATTTGTCTAATTTTATAATGGAATTTAAAGCTAGGAGTAACGTTAGAGGTCACTTGAGATCAATCCTCTCATTTTATACATAACCTATGTGACTGTGGTGTTTTCACTATTGAAGTTAAAATATAAACATGTTGAAATCTGTGTAAAACAGATTGTGAGAAATAGAGCCACTCAGTCATTACAATCAGCTATTCATCGGCAAGGCACGGTCACTCACAAGGAATGAATTATCTATTCATCACCAAGCGATAACCATATTGACACAAATTTTAAATAAAAAGAAATGTATATATTTATAAATAACAGCCCCTAAATAATAACCTGCTGCTCGTAATATGCCTGAACATTTTAGGACCCATGTCACACAAAAACAGCATATTCATTGCCAGGGGGAAGGGTTCAATTTATTGAATGATGCATTTATAATTCGAGGCTATAGATTTTGAAGCTAGTAATTACGTTAGAAACCTAAGAGTCTGGGTTATGTGTTTTGATAACATTTGCAAAACTATGTGCTTACTGAGTATTCTAGAATGACTTATTTTTTTCAACTCACATTCATTTCCCAGCATGCATTTTTTTCTGAAGTAAGAAAAATGGTATGACAAAGGAATAGGTTTTACAGGCAACCAGAGGATAGAGAGGTCATTTCATCATTAGGATAATGAATTTTATGATCTTTAGCATTATCTTCTTATACATAATTCACACTGAGGTCGTTGATTATAAAAGTAATATGTGCTTGATGAGAAATGTTTGGAAATATTAAAAAGCAGTAATAAGAAAGTAACAACTAGAAACTTAGTACCGAGAGAAATAATACAAAACAAAATTTTTGATTTTTTTCCCTCTGGATATCCCCTGCTCTCCTCCCACACAGACTTGCACCTGCCTATGTACACCTGCATGTGTTTATTATGCCTTCTGGCTCCAGCGCTTACATGCTCTGTGACCTTTGACAAGTTACCTCACTTTTCTGTGCCTTAGTTTCTTCATCTTTAAAATATGGATAGTAACACTAACCATGTTATAGAATTATAAAGATTAAATGGGCGTCATTAATAAATAGAAAGTTTTACAAGAGTGTTTGGCATGATGTTTATTAACTACTATTATGGGTATGATTGTATGTTTTAAAAATATTTTAAAATTATCAAGCCCGTCTCATTTTTATTTGAAAGTCATACTAGCCCTTGCTGGTATCTCGTATTATTTTCTATAAGCCACAGCAATGCCATTTCTCCCTCTATGATAATGGTGGTAAGACGAACATCTGAAAAATATGTTCCATGCAGAATGAATCTTCACACAGACTTATTTTGTCATTTTGGTTTGATTTTTGAGAAATGAGTTCAGCACATCTGCCAAATCCTTGTATAAGATGCTACATTCCTGTTTTTATTTTAGCGTATTCCGTTTATGAGGAGCTCTTTTCTTCTCCACCCGTCCGGCAGACAGGCAGGCCTCCTTTGCTCCCTCCCTCCCCATCCCACGCTCTCAGGTTGTTGCACATTAAATCTTTAAAATAGAAAACGGGAAGAAAAACTGGAAGGAATCAGTCACTTTTTTTTAAAGCCATTCTCCTTTTGGTGTATCTAGTTTAAGAAAAAAACAAACCTGTTTTCACACTGAAAACATACCATTTGATAATGGAGTTTTAAAACTTTTACACATTTGAAATAACAGCCTTTCTTTCAGGATGGGAAGGAGAAGGCTGGTTTGGGGAGGGGAAGGATGGAGTAGAGCAGATGCAAAACAATCAGTTTGCGAACATGTGCTAATATTTAGATTCTTTTTTTTAAGTGAAAAGTTAACTAGTTAATGCTTTTTTACAAACTGTCTTTGATACTGTGTTTTGTTTATTCCATCCCAGAAGAAGTTAGCGGTATACAGCAAGATGCAGGACTCTCTGGAAGTCACCCTTCCCAGCAAACAAGAGGAGGAGGAGGAGGAGGAGGAGAAAGACCAGCCTGCCGAGATGGAGTACCTTAACTCTCGCTGTGTCCTTTTCACTTATTTCCAGGGAGACATTGGGTCAGTAGTGGATGAACACTTCTCAAGAGCTTTGGGCCAAGCCAGCACCCTCCATCCAGAATCTGCCATTTCAAAAAGCAAGATGGGGCTAACCCCCCTCTGGCGAGGTAAGAATTCAAAAGCAGATGCTCTCCAGGGCACCGTCTCTGTTTCGCAACTGCCTGTACCAGGTTCCAGCTGGAGACGTGCCCCTGGAGGACGGATATCCATTTGCTTTTTAATTTTTAAGGACAGCAAGGAATTTCTTTCAGACAAACAGCTGGATCCGTTTTGTCACATGTGGAATGTGGGGTTGGAAAGGATGCAGTCACACCCCTTAATTCCTCATGGAAAGTAGTGATGCAACCAGCTCAAGTTTATAGTGGCAGCATCGAGCTGAGAAGCACCATTCCTTAAGCCCCGATGGCCCAATTTGGATGTCTAAATAATAGGCGTGCCTGCATCAGCTTTTAAAAATTAGCTCTTGCTCATTCCACTAGGTGCTACGTGGTGACATAGCAGAGGTTTGAGTCTGACGCAGGAATACAGACTTTGAAAGCCTTCTGTGTTCTCTTAAGAGCTCTCTCTGTCCTGCTTTGTCGTGGTGTTTACTCCTTGTAGTGTACAATCCAGACATTATTGACTGAGTCTACCTAGCTTGGCTCTTGTTCTTAGCTCTGGAAAGGAAAGCAGTAGAATGGGCATCCTTTTCTCGCTTTCCCTCTACATAGACGTCACAGAGGTGTGTTTGAATTGGACACATAGAAAATCGTTGGGTAACGTCCTGATTGGGATAATTACAAGGTTAGAGAAAAGATAATACATCGTCCCAGTAGTAGTTTTAGAGGAATGTGTTATGGACATTTCTCCTGAGCTCACCTGGTTGCAAGAAGCATCTTGTAAAACGGTTCTCAAAATGTGGTTTCCAAGACCAGGAATGTCCGAATCAGGTGGGGGCTGGTTAGAAATGCAAATTCTTGGGTCACACCCCACACCTTACTGAATCGGAAACTCAGGGGTAGCTAATCTGTTTTGGTGAGCCACCCAGGGGTTCCAGTGCAGGCTCGCATCTGATCCTTGTTGATCTAGTGCTGTTACAAACAGAGATCGCAGGCCGCCAAACTCAGACATACTGAGTCACAGTCTCAGAATCAGACCTGACCCGGTGCCCGGGTGATCCTATGACAAGGAAGGGCTTGTCACCTGATCACCCACCTGTGGTAGGGGCCAGGTGAGAGGGGATGAGTGGCTGGTCCCCTCTCAGCACTGGAGAGGTGGTTGTGCTTCTTGTAGGAGAGATCCTGGCCGTAGGAGATTGCCTGGCCCGGTCTGTAGATACGATGCTTTTCTTTCATGCCTGCCTCTCTGCCTGCCTGCCTGCCTTCCTACCTTCTTTCTTTTTTCTTTTTAGAAAAAGTAATGTGAAAGTAGCAAATGTGAACAACACTAAGATAAGCAGTGACTAGAGAGGGGAAGGTGGAATACAAACTCAAGTGACCTTAATAGAGGTGATTCGGAAGTGTAGCTGCTGATTGACTAGTGAATATTACAAGAACTGAGAGCTGAGTCCTTGGAAGTCTAAGATGCTTATGGAATCAACCAACATGCTATTTGATAGCACATGGTGAGCGCTTTTCATAACTTGTGGAGGGTGACCTAGGAAAACGTCAGTGAGTTAGCTGGCTGGAGTGAACAGTTTGAGATATCAGTCTTAAATCCTGTGAAGACAGTCGTCCTAGGAGAGGGCTCTAGGCAGGGCCTACTCCTGTCGCCCACTGGCCCTGCCACCTGGTGATCATGTCACCTGCAACAGAGGAACGAGAGCCCTAAATTACAGCTCTATGGGAGAGTGATTGTCACAGTATCACAACCAGAATAGTTTTAAGCAAGGTATTGTGAACATGCAAAAATTTGCAGTTTAGTGTTTTTCCTATACTCTACGTGACTGAATGGAGAAGCCCCCTGGACAGATGCCAAATTTCAGGATAGAAAGGGTGGATCAGGATAATGTTTCAGGAATGGTTAAACAGTTTTCTTGGCATCATCTTCAATTTGGCCGTCAGATCTCTCTCTGGCCTCATTTCCTGACTTCTGCAGCAAGTGTCCAGGTCCCACTGTGCTCTAGGTTGTGGGCCTGTGTCATGAACAGGAGAGTCTCAGCCTCTACGTTTGTGGAGCTTTTTAGTGGAAGAGACAGATAATAAATATATGATGAGACGCAAGCTGTTGCTTTGCTTAGGATGATAATAGACGCTCTCTCTGAGACTGTTTTGTTTGAGCACAGACTGAAGGAAGTGAGAGTGCTCCTCATCACATGAATATCTAGGGGGAGATTATTCGAGGCAGAGGGAACAGCCAGTGCAAAGGCCCTGAGGAAGGACTGAGCTTAGAGCGTTCAATGAGAAGCAAAAATGCTGGCGTGTGTAGAGTGAAATGAAGAGTGATTTCTAGAGACAAGGATTTTTAGAGCTTTGTATGGCAGTTTAGTTTATCAGGGTAGCCCAGGCACACACAGCAAGCTCCTCTATTTCCATCTCTCCCTCACCCACTGAGAATGCATATATCATATCCGGTTATCTCACGTCATTTTCCCTAATGCTCAGGATAATGCATTTCTATATGGAAAATCTGGAATGAATATGAATTGAATGATTACATGACTGAGTTAGATGAACCGAGTTCATACCATGTACCCTGGATTAGAAAAAAAAGTCCTTGATGGAGAATTTATCAGCAGTAAGCTGTATGAAATCTTTGGTTACAGTTTTCTTATTTGTAAATAAGCATTGAATTAGGTGATTGTTGAAATCTTTTCTCTGTAAAATTTCTGTGATTTCAAATGTATTGTTTACTTTCCACTTGTGAATAGCACTTTGCTTCTTTTACTTTTGTTTACTGAAGTATAATTGATGTACAATATCCTATTAGTTTCAGGTGTACATCATAGTGATTCAATATCTATATACATTATGAAATGATCACTAGGAAAAGTCTAGTTAGCATCTGTCACCAACAAAGTTATTACAGTGTTATTGACTATATTCCCTATGCTGTACCTTACATCCCCATGACTTATTCTTGTTATAATTGCAAGTTTGTACATCTTAATCCCCTTTACCTATTTTTTCCTGCACCCCTTCCCCCTTTGGTAACTACCAATTAGTTACCTGTATCTATAAGTCTGTTTCTGTTTTCTTTTGTTTGTTCATTTGTTTTGTTTTTTAGATTCTACATATATGTAAAATCATACAGTATTTGTCTTTATCTGACTTATTTCACTCAGCATAATACCCTCTAGGTCCATCCATGTCGCAAGTGGCCATATTTCATTCTTCTTGATGGTTGAATAATATTACATTGTGTATATATACCACACCTTCTTTGTCCATTCATCTACCAATGGACACTCAGGCTGCTTCCATATATTGACTATTGTAAATAATGCTGCAGTGAACATTGGGTGCATATGTCTCTTTGAATTATTGTTTTTGTTTCCTTTGGGCAAATGCCCAGAAGTGGAATTGCTGGATCAATATGGTACTTCTATTTGTAATTTTTTGAGGAACCTCCAAACTGTTTTCCGTGGTGGCTGCACCAGTCTACATTCTCACCAACAGTGTATGAGGGTTTGTTTTCTCTACATCCTCACCAACACTTGTTTTTTTTGGTCTCATTGATAACTGCCATTCTTACTGGTGTGAAGTGATCTCTTATTGTGGTTTTGATTTGCATTTCTTTGATGATTAGTGATGTTGAGCATCTTTATATGTACCTGTTAGCCATTTGTACGTCTTCTTTAGAAAAATATCTATTCAAGTCCTCTGCCTATTTTTTAATCAGGCTGCTTGTTTTTTTGATATTAAGTTGTGTAAGTTCTTTATATATTTTGGATGTTAACCCTTATCATGTGTATGATTTGCAAATATCTTCTTTCATTCAGTAGATTGCAGTTTTCTATTGTTGAGTGTTTTCTTCACTGTTCAAAAGCTTTTTAGTTTGATGTAGTCCTATTTGTTTATATTTGCTTTTGTTGCCATTGCTTGAGAAGACTGCTCCAAAAAATATCACCAAGACCAATGTAAGAGAGGTGACTGCCTATGTTTTCTTCTAGGAGTTTTATGGTTTCAGATCTTACATTTAAGTCTTTAATCCATATTTTTTTTTTAAAGATTGGCACCTGAGCTAACAACCGTTGCCAATCTTTTTTTTTTTCTGCTTTTTCTCCCCCAATCCCCCCAGTATATAGTTGTATATTTTAGTTGTGGGTCCTTCTAGTTGTGGTATGTGGGATGCCGCCTCAATGTGGCCTGATGAGCGGTGCCATGTCTGTGCCCAGGATTCGAACCAGCGAAACCCTGGGTGGCCATAGCGGAGTGCGCAAACTTAACCACTTGGCCACCAGGCTGGCCCCTAATCCGTTTTGAGCTGATTTTTTAATATGGTCTAAGGCAGTGGTCCAGTTTCATTCTTTTGCTTGTGGCTGTCCAGTTTTGCCAACACCATTTATTGGAGAGAATGTCTTTTCTCCATTATATGTTCTTGTCTCCTTTGCTGTAGATTAATTGATCATATATGCACAGGCTTATTTTTAGGCTTTCTATTCTATTCCATTGATCTATGTGCATGTTTTCTTGCCAGTGCCATACTGTTTTGACTACTATAGCTTTGTAGTATGGTTTGAAATTGGGGAGCATGATACCTCCAGCTTTGTTCTTTCTCAAGATTGCTTTGACTATTCAGGGTCTTTTATGGTTCTGTACAAATTTTAGGATTCTTTGTACTAGTTGTATGAAAAATGCCATTGTTATTTTGATGGGGATTACATTGAACCTGTAGCTTGGACATTATAACAATATTAATTCTTCCAGTCCATGAGCATGGTATATCTTTTCATTTATTTTTGTTGTCTTCAATTTCTTTCACCTGTGTCTTATAGTTTTCAGAGTACAGATCTTTCACCTCCTTGGTTAAATTTGTTCCCAGGTGTTTTATTCTTTTTGATGCAATTGTGAATGGGATTGTTTTCTTAATTTCTCTTTTGAGTAGCTCATTATTAGTGTGTAGAAACACAACTGATTTCTGTATACTAATTTTGTATCTTGCAACTTTACTAAATTCATTTATTAGT